GGTGTTCGCGGCTCGCCAGCCCCACCTTAAGCAGTGCCAACGTCTTTTAGAGGCACCTTTCAGATACGTATCTTTACACTTTTGTCTCTCGTGCAAGAGTGCAAAATATATAGATTGCAATATCCTCCCAATGGTGGGAAAGGGTGGCTTGGTTTTGAGTGAACCTGTGTCTGTAATTACAGGGCAAGAGGCAGCCGATTTGCAGGTTGCTTCATCCAGGCACCGCGCTGGGAAAGCCAGGCATTCTTGTTTTTCGTAAGATGGTGTTCATCTGGGTCAGCATATGGCAAGTGAGGGGGAAGCAAGAAACTGTCAATCTGTGGGGAGAAAATGATTCTGCCCTGGTGAATCAGATGCTAAAGTCAGCCTGGTGCGCAGTTTTCATGGCGTAGCATGTGTCAGCTTTCATTACTTCTTCAACGTGTGTTTGTCTCCAAGAATGGATCAAAGGCAGCACAGTTCCACTACTGAAATTCCTTTGAGATTGCCTCAAAGATGCAGCGGAGATACGGTTAATAACAATGGGGACTTTCTTTGTCATGATATTTTAGTCAACGTATCATGAGAAATATCTTCGAAATGGACAATAAAAATGATACCTGCCACATTAAATTAATATTGAAGATTAAAATTAAGATGTAAAAATTACGAAAGCACCCACACAAATTTAATGATGTGATAACTGCCTCAATGACATAGGAGTTATGCTACTGGATTTGGGTGATTTGCTGCATTGCCCACGTGAGTATGTTATAAGTTGATTAAACTATAAGATATATTGCTATTAAGCACTGAAAGATGATACCGTGTATGTATTGTTTACGGCTTTATTAATCTGTATTATGACTAAGCAACAGATCGGGCAGTCTTAAAAATGTTTAAAGCTTTTGAGTTATTTTAATTAAAACAGTAATGTGAAGTGATATTAATTTTAAGTGGTAATTGTAAGTGGTGTTTTATTAGCTAGCTCATGGATGTTTTTTTTTAATTTGGCAAAGTCGATTCGTGGTTTTCAACTCTATAAACTTATATATGTAAATTAGCTGCTGTACCGCATATAAAGTACTTTATTTATTTTCTTCAACTTTATTTTCCAACAACAAAAACTACCGCACTGCCCGTTAGCACGTCGGCTACACACGGTGCAAAAGAAGTTCAACATAAAACAAATCACAACATTCCGTTCACGTCCAAGGTAAAAAAAAATAATTGACAAAAAAGGGAGGGGAATGAAAAAGGGGGGGGGGGGTGGAGAGAACAAATCAAAGGGATTCTCGGTGTTACTCAACAGTGATGGACAACAGCGATGTGTTGTTACACTGCACTCCATGTGGCCGAGTCTATCAAGCGATGTGTGTGTGTGTGTGTGCAAGAAGCGCTCCCATACCCTCCTAAATGTATCTGTCTCTTCCACTTATGGCAGATCCCAGGGGTTCCAGTTGCAGCTGCATTGTACAGTACATCTTATTTATTAATCCCCATGTGCAGTTGTCAGCATAATATGCTGTTCCTGATCGTTTAAAGCTGCGAGCCTCTCACAGTGGCGGCACAGTGAATCTGTAGCTGTCTCCACTGACGTTTGGACGTTTTGGAGACAGAGTGACTGCTCCTGAGGTTGAGAAGACAGACTTTTGGTGTAGGAGAATCTAGTTTGGTTGAAACGCTGAATGTTCTGAAGGTTACTGTGTAGCTTTTCACGGTTAAAATGCAAAGCTCTCGGATGTGTTTTCTCATTATACCACGTGTAATTCAGCATCATATCCAATGTGGAGCAAATTGAATTTCAGCTCCTGAAGCAGTTCTCAAGAGGTCGTGGAGCAGAACGTTGGACATGATCTGAACAATATGCACGTGGTACAACCTGAAACCAACATCAGAGAGACATAAATGTTTGGCACGTCCAGGCACAACCACATTCATGTGTTTGCAAGGCATGCACTTGGAACAACAGAGGTCTATAAAATTGGAATATTTAACTTACGTGCGCTGGAATGATAACGTGCTTTAGAATCAGACGGTATGAAAACCAAAACATCCTTCGTCACGGATAACATTTCCGAATGCTACCGTTGCACGGAAAATTGTCAGACCTCACGTCAGTGCACTGCTGGAACTGACAACAATGCCTTTGCGTTTGCTGGCCAAATGGCGCGTGCGAAAACAAGAGCGTGCAGGAGCAACGAGTCCCCTGTACAACAGAGCAAACATGAAATAACCCCATTTCCATTTCAAACAGTTTGGAAAATTCACATAGCACAATTACTGGTCTAATCTTGGCTTGATAGAGAGGATCAATGAGAATGAGGAAACAGACTGACTGGTTGAATGTTTTATTTATATTCTGAATTAAACACAAAATATAATTTTAAAATGTAGTACTGTAACAAAATTGTAACTCATAATTAAACTGCATAGAATTAAGGCTTTGCATATTTTAACTGATACTCATGTTGTCTATAAACCACGTTAAATGTGCGTGGCATTGACCTGATTTCTGCCGTAAAATATATGAATTGGGATAATGCTGCAATGTGGTAGAACTGTCCGATCTGATAATGGATCCAAGAAGTTCACATACCGAGTGAGATGGCACCATGTCTGTGTGGAGGAGCCATGGGAATTCTCTACGCTTCCTTTATCCTTGCACCTCGTGCATTACGGAGGTGATGAAGGTTTTTTGATGGGTTCCACGATAGTCGACGGTTAGAAATGTGTGATACCAGAAAACTGATATGTCAACGAGCCATTGCTTGCTGTGAGGCTGAACTGTCATAATAATTAAGTTTTGCTCTTGAATAATTGGAAGGGGGACTTTGCTTAAATAATGTAATTTAAGGATTATTTGACCAATTGAAGACATGCACAGATACACGCACAAATAAAGCTCTCTGGAGGCAGCAAAGTACAACATCTGAAACTAAATACATCTTTACTTGCTCAAATATTACACCAATATGCGCATGCACTAAATTCAATGACTTTGCGTTATCAATTATTCTGGGGATAATCATATTAAAAGAATGCATTGCAACGATGCTTTGTTGATGTGAAATAACTCCAAGAAACCCATTATACTTGTTTTTATAAAATCAGCACATATTAATGAGCCAGAAGCCCATGGGAAGGATTGTACTGTGAAAAAGCAAGCATGCCAGCATGCCAGTATATGCTATACACATCATTACATTTCTGCACTTGTGTGTGCACATATTTTGAGAGGCGTTCTTCAAATGAAGCACAATTGATCACTCATTAATGGAACTGAGTTAATGCGTCCAAACATCACTGATATACCAGACATCCCAACGTTGAATTTGGCTTGTATATCGTATTAAAAAAAAAAGAAGCAATATTATGCAGTGAAATTTGAAATTATATTTTATACTAGATTTGAAGCTTTCGTAACTGCAAGGATTCATATTCTTAGGTTTTTTTGGTAAAGTCACGTAGGTAAAACATCAAAATTAATAAAAATAAAATAAAACAAAAATCACGACGTTTCCTCCGAAACATGTTGCCTCCGAAACGTCGTGATTTTTGTTTTATTTTATTTGTATTAATTTTGATGTTTTACCTACGTGACTTTACCGAAAAAACCTAAGAATATATTTTATACAGCAATATAAAACATAGAGCCATTGTTTCACAGACATAACTGTGAATGGCAAATATAGCTCAAGTACAGTAGCTCATATTCATGCATTCGGCTCATTTAGACCAGAAATATGCTCGTGGTGTTTGTGCAAAATGATCAAAGATGATGCGTCGCATGTCTCTAGCCCTGAGGAGCGTAATTCCTCAGAGTCATTTCAACATTCAAAGAAGTTTTCATGCTTCTACTCATTTATCGACAAGGGCACCCTTGATGAATGTGCTAGGCAAGTGATGTTGAGGCTGTTAATGCTGAGGTGGTGCTGCTTATCCATTGTAGTTAAACGAGGTTTTGTGACCAACAGTGATTCTTTGCGGACAGTATTCTAAGTGTGGGTGTGTAAGTGTGGCGTTTGTATATTCTTCCCCTGTTCTGCAGTGAGAGTGTGTATGTAGGGAGCAGTGGCACAGTGGTTTGCACAGCACTTCACTACAAACCTGGCAAAGATTTGAGCTGAATTCCCGCTCATGACCAATATCAGTGACAGCAAATGCCAGAACCTGTCCTGTACCCTCCCTTACCTAGGTCGACTGAGCTTTAAATGAGTACCTGGTGCTATGTGTAGTAAACATCAGCAATGGGGAGACAAAATCGGCCGGGCGTGGAGTTGGCCACATCCACCCCCTCATATACCAACAACACTTGCCCCAAAAGACTTGGGGGACCTTTGTCTTTGTGAGTTATGGGTACTATTTTTAAGCATTTATAGATGGATTGGAGCAACTCTATTAGAATATTGTGAGGTAAAATCCCCGATGGGTTCAAATCGATCTTGGGAGTTGATAATGAGCATAAGATTGTGATAAGTTATTTTATTACGGGACTGACCCTCGACCGTGAGAGTGACATCGACCATTTCGTGGTTTGAATAGGGAACCACGTTTCCCTTATCTACTGTACACCTGAGCCAGGTTGTTTTTCCACTGCAGGACCCGAAGCGTGCTGCTGACGTCGCGTGCATTGAACGAGTTCAGTTGTACGTAGACGACGGACGGGGTAACGCGGTGTCCTCACACTTTACCGACTGATATCACATGCAATGTACTTGTTTCTAGGCCCGCCGTTGGCCTAGTTTGACTGCGAGGCCAGAATATCACGGTTGTGTTTCCTATTTGGCACGGGAAATAGCCAGTGGAAAACCAAGTGTACGGCGGGGTCCCTGTGCTGGCAAGGCTCAGAATTCCAGTGGAAAAGAAGATGGTGCCTGGAGAAATATTTTTGCATCTCGTGCAGTAATTCCAATCAGAGTTCTTCTTTGCTGTGATAAAAAAAACACTTTCAGAGATTTGCATAGGAATGTATTTTAATCACAATATTTGCTTGTCTTTTTTTGTTGTTGTTGTTGCAGCAGTCGTACACACAAACTTCCAATCAAATGGCTCCAAGCCCCAGTACACACAGCAGTGCTAACAGCACCAGTGGTGAGCAGCTGAGCAAGACAAACCTGTACATACGGGGGCTTCCACCCGGCACAACCGACCAGGATCTTGTCAAGCTCTGCCAGCCGTGAGTGTTTTATTTTATTAAAGACTCTTTGTTTTCAATAATTTATTTGTACGTTATTGTTTTCCATGATAGTTGACACACACGTAATGCACGATCTGCTCTGATACTTTTAATGATTTGCATTAGCCACCTACACACAATGTTCCCGTGTTAAATATGATGGGACGGCTCGTGCTGCAGAGGACATTCCTAGTGGTTCCCTTTGCTGACTCTAAATGTAAGTAATTTTGAGTATTTACCTTCAGTAAGGAACCAAATGCAAATGTACTATTAGCCATATCCATTCGATAGTTGCATTGCATAGCTTCTCCAGACCAACACACTTAAATTAATTTTAACTAACGAATACAATCTGCTGTGTCATATAGCTATATCCACTGTATGGTTGTACTTGGAATGCACATTTAAAGCAATTCGAAAAACGTTGTTTGCTTTAGGCAAGTAACGATTCACCAAATAAAACAGTTGTGTAAGCTCTTGACATATGCGTGCAATAGTGCATCTTATAAATACTTCTGATTAATGCAAATTGCTCTTATACTGCAGTGCATAGTGCACTATCACTAGTGTGTTCCTTAAGGTGAATCGAAAGATCAAGACAACAAATGACGGAAATATCAGAATCGGAATTGTTAATTACCCTGGAGAAATTCTAAAACATAGGACATGGTAAAGCAATCTGTGTAATTATGTAAATGGTGAACAAATTGTGTAAACACTTTCATACAATCATAATCTAATAGAAAACACTCATGTAAACAGAGCAATTAATTAATGCAGTAATATCAAGGCAATAAAGAAAAATGATCCTGGAGAAATATGAGCAACCCCGCAGCATGAGCTTGACTAAAGGGGCAGTCAAGAAAAAAATTCAGGCAGGGCACGGCACAGTCCGTGTGAAACGATCTTTAAAGCAGTGCTAATGAGTAATGCCATGACCTGATTTTTGTAGTATGATGCACTCCGCTCCACCTCTCAGCCAATATGTATACGAGGAAGGGTTGAAAACTAAAAAGTGTGGTGTTTAATATTGTGGCCACATGTTTTGGGGCTGTGTATGAGTTTGAAAATGTGAATTAGATGCTACAAGAAAGACAAAAAAACAGATCGGTTCTTGAATAAAAAAAACATTACCTTGAATCTTGACAAGTCAGTACATTGCCAGCAGGAGCAATTGTTGGCATGTCTCGTGCACATGGTGGTGGTGTTCTAAACCCTCATACCTCAAATCGCCTATGGTGGGGGTTTCAGGGTCCTTAAATACCATTAAAACATGACTTTAAAACTGAGCTCAGTTTGAAAATGTAATTACCGTTTATTTTACTGAAAAAGCAGTACACTGAATGTATTTTAATGGGTGCAGTAAGACACATTTAGTAAAATCTGAGACTAAATATCCCCAATCTACCTTCAGTATACTCTCTCCTTGTATTTATGGTTGTGTTCTCAATCCTGTACTCTAATCTCCGCTGCCCACGCAATCAAGTTGCATGTTATTTCATGAAGTATGCAGATTTTACCTTAAACTGTCTGTGCCAATTGTCCCCACTGAACTGTTTGACTAATGGAGCGCATGCTAAACCCTCAAGAAATCAAGTCTCGCCTCTCTGTTGCATCTTCTATGAGTATCCAGGAATTACCCATTTAAGATATTTCTCGGGCCTGTATATTTTTTTATTTATTGGCTAGATTTTACTGCATTCAATGATAAAAAAAATTGATGTGATTTTTTTTTCTTCTATTATTATTATTATTTTTTGACAGTATTTACACAATGTGTTCACCATTTTCATCATTACGTTTATTGTTTTATGATGTCCTATGTTTTTGAATGCATCATATTTATAGTACAACATAAGCATATAAGGTTTGTGTTGCAGACATTTGTTTAATCGTTGGTGGTATGCTCGACTGTGGACCAATGTAGACTACTATTTGACTAGTTTCAGAAAGTTCGTGATTGAATTGTATCAATATAAAGGCCATTCATGTAAATTCAGTAGATTTTGGAATAGTTTGTATTACTTAAACTAGGAACATAAAAACTATTGGCACTAATATCAAATAATCTATTTTCTTTATGATGTATGTGGACTTAATTAATTACATTAATAATGATGGAATTTCTTAACGTCCGGCAGACATATAAATGAAAGCATTCACGCAAAAATATCCAATGACTTGGATGCATAAAGGAAATTAGAATTATGTCTACAAAAGAGACACTCACAACTGAAGCAGAATGATTGTTTCTTAAGTGCAAACTAATGTCATCATATTGGCCAAGCCATCCATTCAGCTTCCCCCGAGGCTATTTCAGAGCTACCGAACCTGGACATGGACTTATGAGTTGCTGCACAAATCCATACTCGGAAGGAATCCATAATTATTAGTTTGACTAATGGAGCGCATGCTAAGTTTGCGTGCGTCGCAGTACCTAATTCCCTTGGCGCCAAGCGTGCAGAAAGCTCTCCAGCTTGCCAGCAAGCGGGAAAGGTGGAACACAACGAATCGCGCCACTAGTCCGTACATAGTTTAATTCGGTGATAGGTATGGCTATCATCAGCGATAGTTCCATTTCCTACTCATGCCGGCACTGGTCACTTCTTTCCTTTTGTTTGCCTCTGGATTGGCATGTGTACCAAGTCCATGGCTGACCTTTACCTTTTATTCGGGTATGCACTTTAGCCAAGTCTGCAGTTTACTTTAAATATGTACCAAACACAAAACAAATGTACAGCACCAGGTCACCTGTTTTGTCATGCTTGCGCTAACCTCATTGGACGCTGACTCTGCAGTATAAACCCACGCTTCCTTCCAGGTCGCTTTGTCTTAACTCGGCAGCAACAGTACATTTTGTTCCTTGAAGTCGAGCACTATGTTACAGCTGTTTACCTTATCTGAGCATGACTGAAAAAAATTGGTTTCATTTCATATGACAAAAATAATAAAAAGGATGCACGTTCAGAATTTGACTATGAATATAAATAAGTTCATGTTCCTCCAATGTAGGACAATTCATTTCCAGGAGTTTAGAAAATGTATTACACAAAGCCACTTCATCATAAAAAAACATTCCAAAAAGATGCTTTTTAGAAAGGATGTGTCTGAAGATTAGATTGTGATTGAGTCGGTTAGGATAAGTTTGACATTGTGTGTCAGTAATGTTTTTTTTCCCATCATTATAGTACAGTAAAAAAAAACATGCAGCATTTACTTTAATCTTTATCCGTTTTCCCGCTTTTTCACATTTGAAAATGGAATAGAACATTAAACGCACATACTCTACATGTAAGCGATGTCACAGAAATCCCTGCAGGTACTATTATAGATGAAACTGGTCAAAAGGAAATGCACAGAAACGGCATGGAAATAAAATCCCTCGTTTGAGAAACAGTTGTGCAAAGTGCCTGTGGGGAAAGAAAAATAACACATCCGGAATACATATTTTTGGTCATAATTTTTTTAATTCCAAATTTTTGCAGAAGTTTTGAGCTTTGAAGTAAATCTAGTATTTATCCACATGCGCACAGATCTTCCTCACAATGAAGTCCATTCCTTTTAAAGACCCATCACTCAGTTGTAAATCAAATGAATGAATTGACAGTTTAAATAAACAACTGCATTGGCTTTTTTCTCCAATTGCTTTTATTTATTATCTTTTCAAATATTGCATAGCCCCCGGTGTATGTGTGGCATATATATAGGCGCTTAAAAAGGCGAGAAGGCCTGCTATGCATCTGAAAAACGTTGTAATGGATACGATAACAAATTAGTCTCAGAGTTACCTCGGGCTGGTTTCCCCTTCATGCCATAAGTCAGTCTAAAAGAGCTGTGCTCAGTGTGTCTAGGAGCAGACTTTGTTATTAGAATTCTAGAGCACATGGGTCAGTGCACCTCATTCGTGCATGCAAAGGGCAAGCATGAGAGGCATTCGAGAGATTTAGCACACGTCACTGATTCCCTTGCCTGCACAGACATATGAAGTGGTTTTAGCATTTTGGTTTAAGTGTACAATTTTAACACATTTCTAAAGGTTTTCTCCCGTAAATAAAATAATTATATGCACTATGTACAATGTTTGAGATGAACAATTCGTTATTTTTTTCAATAAAATGAATAATTACCGATGTATCATTAATACGTTGCAACTTTAGAAGTCATATATATGCAGTTTGATGTTGTGAAAACAGCACAGGGATATGTTTATTTTTCTTTAGAGGAAATATAAACCTGGACCCTTTGGACAGGTGGCCAACTTTAATACCATAGGCGATTATTCTTTTGTCTAAAACAAAAAAGTGTTAATTTTGTTGGCAAAAAAAAAGGTATAATAAGAAGTAATTTAATATGTAAGTAAGAGGGACAGTTAAACGGCCACATCAGAGTACGCATATCTCGTTCTAGATGGCAGGGTGGCGAACTACGATGAGAGGCAGATGAGAGTGGGTGCCGGTGCTTTTGAAAAAGTGCAATCGGTAATGAAAGAAACCTAACAGTTTTTTTTTTAAAGAATAACGTTGGATCCGAAACACGCACATTGACAAAGAAAATGAAACAAAAACTTGAAAGTGTGCAAAGAAGCATGGAAAGGGTGCACGCTTGTTTGTATTACACTGAATTAGAGAACACAAGAAAGTAAAATACACGATTTGTCTGCGAAGAAAAATAGGTGGACTTTGGCAGGACTCGTCACTATAAGGGGTGATGGGCAGGTGGGTGACACTAACGACTGAGTGACTGCCAAAGGAGGGAACACGCTGGCAAGGGAGGTCTATCGATGAATACCGGTCGGTTCTAGATTTGAAGTTTTCGTGACTGCAAGGATCCATACTCTCTTTGGTTCTTTCGGTAAAGTCACGTAGATAAAAAAAATGAAAATAACTATATTCAATCGCGACGTTTCGGAGGCAACACAAGCTTCCGTCATCAGGTAGGAACAGCCACAGCAAAATTACGGAAGCTTTTGTGTTGCCTCCGAAACGTCGTGATTTAATTGA